AATAAATCTATCAAGACTTAATCTTGAAATAAGTAAATTTTTTCTTCATTAAAAATGAAGATAATTTTACTACAAAATAAAAAATAATTAAATAATAAAATAAAATATAAATAAAATATATTAATGTATTTATTATATTAGATATAACAAGATAATTAAAATATAATTAATAATATATATTTTATAAAATTATTAATATTTTATATAATAAAAAAAAATGAAAATTTTTTTAGTATATGATTAACTTAGATCCGTCTCTGCATGTGGTTGTGTGATGAAATGTTAGTCCTGTGTATCCTTTTCCTTTACTTTAGGTTCTACCTCTTCAAGAACATGTTGTTGTTATTGGGGTACATCGTTAATGACTTTAAGAAAAAATACCATGTCATTTCATCCTTTATTGTATAGTGTCAATTTGGTAGTAAGTGATTCACTCCGGTTTGACTTGAAATAAAATCTGTTACCATTGTCTTTAGTGATATACTGCATTGTCCTTAATGATACACTCTATAGTCCAACTGTTTAACAATTGAAGTTATCAATTTCTATTGACAATATTACCAAATTCAATGTTTGAAATGCTTTGTACCTTGGGTCTTTTTCCTTTCACGATTCACAATCGTGAACTATAATCATTAACTGTATATGGAACCAGAACGGGCCGTTCTGAGGTTTCACTTTTAGTGTGTTAATTTTGCACCTGGAACGGGCCGTTCCGGGTGCAAAATTAACACACCAAGAGTACATCCAGAATGGCCCGTTCTGGTTTCAGAACGGGCCGTTCTGGTTCCAGGTATTTTCAAAAAAAATGACGTTCACGTAACATTCACCTATACATCTACGTGACATCCACGTGCATGTCACGTGGCCAACAGTTAACTTTGTTTAAATAATTTAGATAAAAATCCTACATTATAACCAATTAATTTATTATAGATCAAATTAGAACCAAAAATACAAATGAGACTAAATTAAAACAAATAATTATTATAAGGAACTAAAATTTTAGTCATAAATAAATATGAGCTTAAGCTACTCCGAATACAAAAAAATAATAATAAATAAATATAAGTGAAAAGGAAGAGATGTAATAATAGTAGAGTACTGACCGCATTCTTTTTGGTCTTTGACTCCGACGACGGCACCTTCTTTCCTCCAATCAACAGATTCCGGCAAGTTGTCACCCACGCGCGGAGCGTAACGCTTACTTGCCTTGCCCATCACTCTGGTGGCGTCCATCTTGGTTCCCAGGTACTTGGACCGGTACTCCTCGTTGCTAAGATCAGCGAACCGGTTCGGTCCAACCTTGTACGTTCGTTTCTCAGCATTGTGCTGGTCGATAAACTTAAGGTTGTCTTTGAAGATCTCAAACCTCTTTTTGTTCTCGCTGCGGGAGTTATACACCTTCCCATGCTTCACAAGCCACTTCTCGTATACACTCATTACCTCCTCAATCTCATTGCTCCTCCACCCCGACTTCCCCGCGTGGCTTCTGTCGTACGAGATAATCGACATCTCCAATGCTGATGACACTGCCAACACCATCAGAATCGTGGCCGTGGCAGTCGCATATCTGTTATTACCCATTTTCTATTTTGTCATTGGGGATGGGATGTTGATAAGGGCTTTATAAAAGTGGCACTGCATTTTGGTATGGAGTTTCAATCTTGGGTCAGCTATCCCAAGAAATTAGTCACTGCAATCCGTACCATAAATATTTTATGGACAAAATAAATAAATAAATAATACGTTAATAATTTAGATTATGCATATAAAATATGGGCCACGGGCTCATGAATGGCGTACCAGTAGAAAAAATTAATTATTTATCTGCTTGTATTTGTTAAAAAATCAAATTTAAATAATTCATAGTCTTACAAATGTATTGTACATTTAGTTTTTTTTTTATTTATATATATATATATATATATATATATATAATTGTGTGTTTGTATATTTATACTTTTAAGTTTTGAAATTTAAGTCTTAAATAATATTCAATTATTTATGACTCTGGACAACTTTAAACTTAAGATTGATCGTATTCTGTCAATCACTCAATGTATGTTTATAGTTTTTCTATTTTCCCACTACCATGGTAAACCTAGATTCAATCACCCCAAAAATGCCCTTCCCATTTTTTTTTCTTCTATAAAGTTGGACACAAACAATTATATATATTTTATGGAAGTCCTTAGTGCTCCCGCTGCTCAAAGGCCAACATTGGCTTGTTACATCCTGGGTACCACGCAAAGCCCAAAAGAATTTATCACCAGTGAAGGCAACAAGAAATTAAATCTAAAGTTTAAAGAATGGTCAACCATTGATCAAGGATTGCTTGGATGGCTATTGAACTCCTTGACTCATGGCATTGCAACACAGTTACGACATTGTGAAACTTCACAACAACTTTGGGAAGGGGCTCAAAGTTTAGCCGGAACACACACGTTCGAAGATCACCTTTCTCAAGATTGAATTTCTCATAACCAAAAATAAAGGTCTAAATATGGAAAAGTATTTAACCAAAATCAAAGGAACTGCAGACAACTTAGCACTTGTGGGAAGTCCAGTTTCAATACTAGATATGATCAAAAAACGAATAAATAAATAATAAAATATTTTGTGTATCCATATATTTGTTTAAAAATTAAAAATAATAATAAAAATTATATATGAAAAGACAGTCAACAATGAATGTGAATAGTTAATTAAAAAGTGTAAAAAAAAATTAAATAAAAAGTATTTTAAAATTTATAAAAAAGGTATATATGTATATATATCATCTTTATTAATAGTAATTATATATATATATATATATATATATATGACATATTTACTTAATTTAAGAGTAAATATTTTTAAATTTATTTCAATCAATAACTCATATTTTATATTAAATTTTAACGATCTAATT